CACTCTCTTTCTCTCTCTCTCTCAGAAATAAATAAAACATTAAAAAAAAAAAAAGTCATGGGGATATAATGCACAGCATGAGGAATATAGTCCATAATATTGTGTTAACTTTTTTATGGTAAGAGATGGTAATGAGATTTATTTTGGTGATTATTTTGCAATGAATAAAAATGTTGAATTACCAAGTGGTACACTTGAAGCTAACATAAATGTTCTCAATTATACCACAATAAAAAGGGAAAAAAAGGAAAAACAAAATGAAAATATAACAAACACATTTTATAAACACTTTCACCAAGGGCTAAAGTTTATAAAAACAATTTATGTTCTCCAGAAAATTAAATTACCTGGCGTACCTGAGTGGCTCAGTCGGTTAAGCATCTGACTTTGGCTCAGGTCATGATCTCACGGTTCGTGGGTTAGAACCCTGCGTCGGGCTCTGTGCTATCAGCTAGCTCGGATCCTGGAGGCTGTTTCAGATTCTATATCTCTCTCTCTCTGATCCTCCCCTGCTCACGCAGTCTCTCTCGCTCTCTCTCAGAAATTTAAAAAAAAAAAAACATTTAAAGAAATGTAAAAAAAGAAAAGAAAATTAAATTAACCATTTTGTTAAGTGGAGAATTTACTCTAGTATATTACAAACTTAGAAATATTAGGGGAAAATCAACACCTACCAAAATGTCTGCAATGGTGAATGGGTAGATGTGCTTGGAGATTTCAAGTCTTGAATTCAAAATAAAATATCTTCTGAGTTGGATATATACCTGTATTTCCAATCATTTCTAGGAAAAAAAAAAGCCAAGAATCAGATTTTAAGAATAAGAAAATTGGAACTGGATAGAGACATTAACAAAGGGAGAAAATCGTAGGAAGAAAAAAATGGTTTTAAAAAAAGTACTATAAATCTAGGTTAAAATAAAACAGTATAAATGGCCTATATGGTAAGGAAAGAAGTCCATGGTCATCTCAGCCAGCACAGATTAGAATTAAAGTGGGGGAGAGGCCATATATATATATATTTTTTTTTTACGTAAAATACTCTCAGATCATTTTCTGTAAGGTTTTTTTCCCTTAGAATCTTACTCTGGGAGAAAGTGATTTGAAATGTTAGGGCATAGAAAACACAAAGCATAAAAATTCCTTATCTATTAATTACAAATTTTATGTTTATTTATCACATTTTACTTATATGTGTGCTATGCTAGGCATCTTTTTGAGAATTCAGAGAAAATCCTATATTTTAGAAAATAAAACTAATTAAAGATGCAGGATAAAATAATTAGGTGTGTATGCAAAGAATTTTAAAAAAACATATGTTTAATATTTCAAAAATACCAAATCTGTATTGACCATTTATTGATGCCCATAATATGCTAAGTACTGACATCTACATGCCAAAAATATTCTAGTGATAGTTAATAGTCAAGGTTTCAATATTACATAAAGTTAAACTGAAGTACAGAGAAGGATCTAACAAAATTTATTTAACATGTTAATTATGCAACATAAACTAAGACATTTGGCTTTGCAGGGAAGACACTGAATCACACCCAGATAATCATATCCTTACTCGGTAACGATGTTTTTCTTTTTAAAAAATGTTTATGTTTTATTATAAAAATGCTTGCCACAGAATGTTTATATTTGAATCTTTTGATATGGTTCAATTTCTGTTAAGTTTCAAGATGAAACGTTCAGAGTGAGTGTAAACAGAATCCACCAGAGCTATTCTTGTCATCGCGGTGCTTTGGTGTTTTTGGCCTTGTCCTTATCATTAACCAATTCACAGCAGCAGCAGGACGGGGTCAGCCTTTTCCAGTTTTGTCTTTTTGACTTGCATTCTTTTCCCTTTCAGTGAAGACAGAGGCCAAATTCCTGTCTCCCCATCATCTTTGTCTCTTTATTCTCTTAAAAAAATTTTTTTTTAATGTTCGTTTATTTTTAGAGAGAGAAAGAACACACACACACACACACACACACACACAGAATGCACTCAGGGGAGGGGCAGAGAGAGAGGCAGACACACACACACACACACACACACACACACACAGAATGCACTCACGGGAGGGGCAGAGAGAGAGGCAGACACAGAATCCAAAGCAGGTTCAAGGCTCTGAACTGTCAGCACAGGGTCCAATGTGGAATTCAAACTCATGAGCTGTGAGATTGTGACCTGAGCTAAAGTCAGACGCGTAGCCGACTGAACCACCCAGGTGCCCCCTTTATTTTCTTTTAAAGAGCGTATTACATTCTGACAAGATATACCAGTGATGAAGTCATATTTTAGCCATAGAAATATAAATATCACCTCCTACTTTGTTTTATATGTTTTCCTCTTTCTCTGCTCTCTTTGGGTTAATTAGTTCCCAGAATTGGAAATTCTTTGAATAAATCTGAATAATTGCTTTATGAACAAGAGGCACCTGAGTGGCTCAGTCAGTTGAGCATCCGACTCTTGATTTTTGCTCACTCAGATCGTGATCCCAGGGTTGTGGGGTCCAAGCTCAGCTTGGAGCCTTCTTGAGATTCTCTCCTCTTTACCCTCTCCCCTGCTCAAGCACTCTCTCTCTCTCACTAAAAAAAAAAAAAAAAAAAAAAAAATCAGCCTTTATAAACAAATGATTTTGACAGAAGCCAGGCTCTTCCCACCTTTGTATAAGTTGCTCCTTGTTTTCAAATGCCAGCGAATTATCCTTGCACAGAACCATTCATGGATAACCTAATGCCACCCCATTACTTACTCAATAAAATGATTGCTTGTGTTTCATTTCTTTGAGCTGTTTGGTATGCCTGGCTTTATGTCTTTAAATATACTTGCATGTTTTGTCCCCATTGCTAGATTATAAATGCCTCAATATTAGACACAATGTGTACTAATCAAGGATGGAAAATTATTTGCCTGCAGACCTCTGAATTCAAATGAAATGCTTTAACTTTTTCCTAGTTCCAAAATCCTTTTCAAATCTCTTCCTTCGGATTCCCAGAACCACAGTCCAAGTTCCCGCCCCCACTCCCTCTCAACTGACTACTGCAATGATTTTCTAATTATTTACCAAGCCTTTGCTCTCTGACCTCTGGCAATTTACCTTTGATTTCCTTCTCAGTTATATTTCTAAAGCAGTTCTGATGGTGTCAACTCCCCAGGTTAAAAGCCTTCCATGGCTCCCCACTGCCTACAAAAAAACCCTCCAGCTTGGCATTCAAGGTCTTTACAAGCTGGTCCCATCCCCTCTTTCTAGCCCCATTACAACCACTTACTCCTCCTTGTCTGTATTCTATGAGCTATTGTTTATTAAATACATCTTTGCACATTCCTATCCTATCTTTATTCATTTTCTGTCTTTTCTAAGATGAGTTTCTCCACCTACTCTCATCTTGCTATTTAATAAAGGATTCCAGCTCAAGAGGATCACTTCTTACCTTTTTTGTTGTCTCTGGTCGACTTGTTTCCTCTCCTTTCCAGAGCATGTTGTTTATGTCTCCATTTTAGCATTTACCATTTATACTGTGAGCATCTTTAAGACAGGGATGATGATTTATTTATCTTCCTATGGCTACAGTCTAGGAAGTGAAGTGGGAGGAGGAGAATAATCTCCCTAGGAAATGAAAGAAATATTTCTAATGACACAGGTAGGGGAAATTCGCAACTGTTTCTTGGATTCTTGTAAGAGTTTCATATTCTTTAATTATTGACACCCACCTTACTTGAAGTAGCTTCCTAGAATTAAGAGTTCAGAGACTTTCTGGGGCGCCTGGGTGGCTGGTCCAACTTTGGCTCAGGTCATGATCTCATAGGTGGTGGGTTTAAGCTCTGCCTTGGGCTCTCTACTGACAGCTCAGAGCCTGCCTGGAGCCGCCTTCGAATTCTGTTCTCTCTTTCTCTCTGCCCCTCCCCCATTTGTGTTTCTTTCTCAAAAATAAATAAACATTTAAAAAAACAGTCCAGAGACTGTCTAATAAAAGCTGTATTTTCTACCGGCGCCTGGGTGGCTCAGTCCGTTAAGCGTCCGACTTCAGCTCAGGTCATGATCTCTCGGTTTGTGGGTTTGAGCCTGGGCTTGTGGGTTTGAAGCCCGCATTGGGATCTGTACTGACAGCTCAGAGCCTGGAGCCTGCTTCGGATTCTGTGTCTCCCTCTCTCTCTGCCCCTCCCCGACTCATGCTCTGTCTCTCTCCGTCTCTCAAAAATAAATAAGCATTAAAAAAAATTTTTTTAACCAAAAACTGTATTTCTAGAAGTCAAGTTTGTCACTTTCCCGACATGGAAGTTAAGCCTCTAAATCAGCCTCATCAAACTCAAAAAATCTACACACTCCATTCAGGAACCAATTAACTTCTTCTGTGCAACCAACCCCACCTAGCTATTAGAACTTATTAAAATTCCAGATTTCAGTCAAGAATAACTGTGATCTCTTATTTGATCAATGGCACAGTACTGTCCTGGGATCTACATCTAATCTTGCCACCATTGGCCAAGTGGCACGTGGCTTTCAGGACATCAGCCGTCAGAAACAGCTCTGTAATTACTTGTGATTACTTGAGTCGAACGACTCCGGGCCTGTGGTGGTTATTTTGCCTTCATTCACCATTAAACATTTGGTTCTGTGCCAGCAGGATGTCTGGGTGCTTGGCCACTCACACGGCGGGCGCCGGCACCAGGGTCGTGCCCTCTCGTAATCAACGCTGGCCAGAGGCAAGCCGGCAGCACCAGCCCACCAGCCGGAGGGAAGCGAGGGCTGCAGTTGGCGAAGAGGGCGGACAAGGTCCTGCCGCCGACCGCCGCTACGCCTGGTGGGTGTCAAGGCGAACCTGAAAGCAGTCGCCCCGCGGAGCCTCAGCACCCGCACGCCGCCGGATGAGCTGGGGGCGGCCGCGCGCGGCAAGGCCCCCGCCCGGCGCGGCAATGGGGGGCGGGGCGGGGCGCTGCGCGCGCCGGCGCGTGGAGGCCGCGGGCGGTGGCGGAGCGCGCGCGGCCTGGGAGGGGCGCGCGGGGCGGAGGCGCGCGGCGGCTGCTGCGGCCTGTGGCGCCGTCGCCGGGCAGAGCCGAGCGGGTCCAGCCGGGCGCCGCTGCCGCGGGCCAGGTGCGCGGGGACGGTTCCGGGCTGCGCCAGGGGCCCGCCCGCCTTCCCGCCGCCGCCGAACTCCCGACTGCGGGCCGCCGGGCTCCCGTTATCATGTCGCTGAGGCAGCGCCTGGCCCTGCTGGCTCGCCGTCTGCAGGAGCCGCAGAAAGTGGCCCGCTTCCAGCGGCTGTGCGGGGTGGAAGCGCTGCCGCGCCGCTCCGCCGCTGCCGCCACCGATCCGAGGGAGGATGAGAAGGCGGAGGCGCCCGTGGCCGGAGACGCCCGACGCCGAGAGCCGCAGGCTGGGGCGTCTGCAGGCCCCCGGCCGCCCGGGAACGACCGCAATCAGTGTCCCGCCAAGCCCGGCGGCGGCGCCCCCAACGGCGTGCGGAACGGGCTGGCGACCGAGCTGGGCCCGGCCTCGCCGCCGCGCGTGGGGGCCCTGCGCCGCAACTCGCTGACGGGCGAGGAGGGCGAGCTGGCCCATGTGAGCAACTGGCCGCTCTACTACCTGTTCTGCTTCGGCACGGAGCTGGGCAACGAACTCTTTTACATCCTGTTCTTCCCCTTCTGGATCTGGAACCTGGACGCCCTGGTGGGCCGGAGGCTCGTGATCATCTGGGTGCTGGTCATGTACCTGGGCCAGTGCACCAAGGACATCATCCGCTGGCCTCGGCCCGCCTCGCCGCCCGTGGTCAAGTTGGAGGTCTTCTACAACTCCGAGTACAGCATGCCTTCCACCCATGCCATGTCCGGCACGGCCATCCCCATCTCCATGATCCTCCTCACCTACGGCCGCTGGCAGGTAAGGTTCCTTCCCGTCGGTTCCGCCTGCGCGAGTCAGACTCTCCGGAGTTCTCTTCGCTCCCAGCAGTTCTGTTACTTCGGCCGTTCCCCTCCCAGACCTCTCTTTCCGCGGGGCTTCACAGTCCCCGCAAACAGGCCTTTATTCTAGGTGTAAAAAAATTAAGTGACCGGGAAAACCTAGACTTAGCTGTCAAACTATATTCTAGTAGCAGTTCCTTTCTTAGAACCCAAAGGAAACGCTGTTCGTGGAGCAGCATATTATCGAGCTTTGGTTGAGTTTTTAAACTGGCTTTAATTCTTGTGATGCACAGAATCCCATTGTAATTAATTATGATGTTCTTACACTTAACCAAGACCCAGTTTCACCACAGTGATGCCTTGCCCCAGCCTAATTCTTTCAGGCTTGGGTAAAGTCTTTAAGCTTTATTTACTCTGAGACAGTGCTTATAAAACCGTCGTGTAATTTCAAAACAAACATGGTCGTTCGAGGCGATGAAGAAATGAATTTTAAACGAAGGCCACTGTTTTTGTAAGTTAATGGAACGCAGCCCGAGTTACCTTTTTTAGGGGTGTGGCTGCTAATTTGCTGATGGACACAAACTTTGTCTCCTAAATCACCGATTTGTAGTATCAGTTGTTGAGCTACTACAGCATTACTGTTTCGTTAGCTTTAAAAATGTATCCTTTTAAGTTTTTTCTTAAAATCAGGGTTCTTGGGCAGACTGGTGGGTTTATAAAAATGACACGAATGACAGCAGGGCGAGCCTGACAATGAGGGATGAGTTTCTAATGGGAAACAGCTTATATTTTGCCTATTTCTTTTGGCCTCCCATTTTTTCAGTTTTTCTTGTTACTTAGGTTTGAATACGAATTCTCTTTTCTATAGAACCAAAATTTATTCTTAGACTGCTGTCTTGTTTTATCCGTCTTTTAAAAATTGTAAGGAGCTTTGTTCCTGCGGTAGACCAGTCTCTTAATTTAAGAATAAACTTAGTAATCATGGAGAATCCAAAGAATCAGACTTCCTCGATTTTTTTTTTCCATCAGAGCACAAAATCATCTCATATTGAGATATACTCAGTTCTGCGTAAAACTCCATTATGATAAGCTTACTCATACAGATTTAATTCCAGTATAGATAAAGTCTTGTCCCCATGGGCACTTCTGTGCAGTACATCTCTCCTTATGGAAAATATGTAATGTGCAGAGTAAAAATGACAGAATTATGAGGGAAGAGTACCATGGACACTATTTGTTTCCTATTTAGCCAAAGGAGATATAGATGATACTCAGATTGTAAAGTAGTGCTGCCTATTTTGCATAATAGATAAATATCTTAAGTTGTATTTAATCTAAGTATTTCAGAATTTAAGATTGTCATTGAGTTATGTTTGGCATGGTATTTACTGGTTAGCTAATGATGTCTAGTTTTCATGAGACTTTCCGGAAAAAACTATAACTGTAGGGTCTTTTATAATTCCTCAATGAGGAATTGAATGGTGTTAATATTAGAGTCCAAGTAAGAGAAAATAGGTATTTTTTGCTCATCATTTGTTCAGGACATGTGCTAACAGGAAGTCCAAAAACCATACTGCTGATGATTTATGGGTTGTAGATATCAGTATTCTAATATTTTAGGGTTATTTGGATTCTCAGAAAAAGCTTACAGTATAGTTTTTGAACAACCTAGTATATTTAATTCAAAGTTTGAGGAATTCATATATCGTACAATTGTCTAAATGCAGCTAGACAGGACTTTAAAAATCAGGACTTTAAACTGTATTTTACAGATGTGGAAACTGATTAGAATTAATCCTGTAAAATTAGTTTAAATTTCTTATTTTACATTTTTTTACTTTAAAATTGAGTAAACTTCTAAATTTAAATAATTGTTTATCTTTTGGTTAGCTGTTATAGAAGAAAGGCTCCATTGTATGGAAGTTCTGTGTTTATAAATGTTTCTAATAACCTAGTATGAAAAGCAAAATGACTTTTTTACTTTTTGCTTTTTAAAAAAGTCCTGTTATGATTGAAAAGAAGACTATCTTCCTTTGCTTAAGCTGTTTTGGTCCTGCTCTCTGCCAATTAGTATTGTATTAGTATTAGTATTTTCATGAGTGGGTAATGAAAAAACAATATTGGAAACTGGGATAAGAATTAAGGAATGAAAGCCTGGTGTTTTACTCTTTTTTTAAAAAAATTTTTTTTAATGTATATTTATTTTTGAGAGAGAGAGACAGAGCATGAGCGGGGGAGGGGCAGAGAGAGAGGGAGACACAAATCTGAAGAAGGCTCCAGGCTCTTGAGTTGTCAGCACAGAGCCCCATGCGGGCTCGAACTCACTGACCTGAGCTGAAGTCAGCCGCCTAACCAACTGAGCCACCCAGGCACCTCTGTTTTTCTAATTAATAGTAGTTTTGGTTGACAGTCCTGTCCATCTGCTGGGCCTGTAGTGCTTATTCAGGACAAGTATGGTTTCTTCTGTATGCCTGGGATGTTGAAACATCTCTGGAAAGAGAGATCTCACACACCATCCCTTTGGTTTGGAATAACTACTTAACTCCTCCCTGCCACTTAATATTCCTACTTAAAATCTGCTTTTGAAATCTGCTCAAGATTGACCTCCTACACAGAGTCCCCCTCCCCCCCCTTTTTTTTGCTGTTTAAAAAAAAGTTTTTTAAGTTGATTTATTTTGAGAGAGAGTGCAAATGGGGAAGGGGCAGAGGCGGGGGGAGAGAGAATCCCAAGCAGGCTCCAGGGTGCCAGTGCAGAGCCCCAAGTGGGACTTGAACTCATTAAACCAGGAGTCTTATGCTTAACCCAGGGAGCCCACCAGGTGCCCCCTACACAGAGCCTTTTTAAAAAAATTTTTTTAATGTTTTATTTATTTCTAGGAGAGAGAGAGAGAGACAGCGTGAGCAGGGGAGGGTCAGAGAGAGAGGGAGTCACAGACTCTGAAACAGGCTCCAGGCCCTGAGCTGGCAGTCAGCACAGAGCCCGACGCGGGGCTCGAACCCAAGAACTGCGAGATCATGACCCAAGCGAAAGTCGGACGCTTAACCGACTAAGCCACCTAGGTGCCCCCCTTTTTTTTTTTTTTTTAAATTTTTTTTTAATGTTTTATTTATACACAGAGCCTTTTTAATTAACCCCTTCTGTTTCAGTTATTCCTCATTTGTTCTTAAAATGACCATAGACCAACAAAATTACCTGGGGCATGTTGAAAGCGCAGGTTTCTATACCTTGCCCTCAGAGCCATTAGCTAGCTAAGTGAGGGTCTATTGCATTTTACTGATAACTTCCCAAAGATTTTTGAGAAAAAAAGTATTTTCTTAAACTGTTTCCAAGTAAAATTAACTCTTGATTCTTAAAATATATTTTGTATTTCTCTAACATTGTTGTCTCACCTTTTTTGCACTTGTGGTCTTTGAATCTTTTTAAGGTACATTACAATATCAAAAGAGAGATTGGGATAGTATGACTCCAAGCAGTTATTTGATACTAGAAGAATGTTTTTTTAATGGTGATGCAAGATAGGAAGTGTATGGCATTTCCAGGTATTAAGTAACTTGAGATCTATTAGTCAGGATAATAATTACTGCTTTCATATTATTTGTTGGAGTTTTTTGTAGCCTGAATTGGGAAAAAATAAGAAATCAGGAGCAGTAGATATTAAGAACATAGTCCTTTGCAGAATAATCTAAAATTAAAAGTAAAGCACTCCTTTTGTATTTACTTTTGCATGTTCTTTCCAAAAACAAAAATTCTTAGTTTTTAAACAATATGGCATATAATGAGTTCTAATTATATACTTGATTTAAGAACACTGAGAATGTTTTAGATTAATCTCATCTTAAAAATGTATTGTCATCATATACTTTATAGCCAAACCCATTCCCAACTGGCCCATATGCTTTCACTAATTTTAATAATAATAGTAATAGTAATTCTAGTATTAACATGTATGATGGTCAGACATTTTTTTAAAAATATTTTAATGTTTTATTTCTGAGAGAGAGAGAGAGACAGTGTGAGCAGGGGAGGGTCAGAGAGAGAGAGAATCTGAAGCAGCTCCAGGCTCTGAACTGTCACCACAGAGCCCGACGCTGGGCTGGAACCTACGACCCTTGAGATCATGACCTGAGCGGAAGTCAGACGTTTAACCAACTGAGTCACCCAGGTACCCCGGTCAGACATTTTTTTAAACGTCTATTACCTGATTTGGTCTGCTTTTATAACATCCCAATGTTTGGTCCTACTATTAATACAAGTTTACAGATCAAGAAATTTAGGTAGAGGAAGATTAAGTAACTTACTCAAAGTAGTATAGCTAGTAAGCCTCATAGGGTAATTTTTTTACAGACTCCAGAGCTTATGCAGAAAATTCTTTTGAAATCACACTCTGTGATTTTTATTTTTTTCTACACTATGTGATTTTTAAAGAATCTTTTCAATAATAAATATTTTTGAAATAGATAGGATTGTGTCAAACTATAAAAACAGCTTTTATATGCTTTGAGAAGATAATGTGTGTGTATGTACATACATATGTGATAGCCACAAATATTTGTTTTAAACATATATTAAGTTGTTGACTGAAATCAGTGCTGATTTTCTCATCCTTTTCCTCTGTTTTCCTAATATAAATTTAAAAATCAGTAAATATAATAAGAGCTTTTGAAAAGAAAAGAACATAAGGTATATTATTAAAATATAGTTTATTGTAGATAATAAAGATATCTGTGAGGTCATGAAGAGATAAAAGGAAGACAAGAAGTAAGAGCTACAAAAGTGGGTCACAAATGACAAAGGCTAGAAAAGGCTTTCAAGAGCCAAGGAAAACTGATCACACTGGTCATTCTGGGAAGAAACAGTTCATTGAAAAGTCAAATTGGTTTGCTCTTTGATTTCTTTTTATCTCATATCATACTTGTGCTTGAAATGCACATTTTCCTGATTTTATAAGTGTTTACTTACTATTAATGCATCCTTTGAAA